TTGATCTTTCTGCCTGCAGTGATCAACTATTTAGATCTAAAACCCTCGATCAACCTCTAGTTCGCCTGCATTCATCATAAGATACATAGGCAGGGAAATATACTTCCTGCACCATGTCGACAATTGTGGGCCTGAATTTTATCCATGGCAATCAGTATTGTTCACTGCATCAACATAAGTTGTTTATTTATAGCCATCCAGTGCAACGAGAAGTTACACATGTCATAAGGAATCTTTGCATGTCCACCACGTGCCATTTGGTTGTGAATGAAAGGAAACCACTTGTCATGAGAAGGTGGACAAAAGGAAACACGTGTCTTAACAAATCTTTGCATGTCCACCACGTGCCATTTGGTTGTCAATAAAAGGAAGCCACTTGTCATGAGAAGGTGGAGAAAAGGAAATGTGGGGAAAGAATAAATTTAAGACATATATATAAATAGGTTCTAGAAATGATGAATATTAATGATAGCCAAAATAATTAGGCAAAATTAAAAATAGACCCCCAAAATTAACTTCATATTACAAGTACTTTGACTATCAAACAAGTTTCCCTTGCCACTTATTAGATCAAACTCTTCTTTGTGAAGTCCTCCATTATGAGTTTTAGTGCATAAGAACATATGTGACCTTCTGTGACGATCTAAATTGGAAATTTTGTTACTCCCTCCATTCCAAATTATAAGTCATTCCAAGAATCTTGGGGAGTCAAAGCATCTCAAGTTTGACCAAAGTTATAGAGAGAATTACAAAGATTTGTGACATTAAATAGGTATACTATGAAAATATAATTAATAAAGAGTCTAATAATACTTAGTTGGTATCATAAATGTTATTATCTTATCAAATAAATTGGTCAAACTTAAGATGCATTGACTCTCCAAGATTCTTGGAACGACGTATAATTTGGGACGGAGGGAGTACATTACAAAATCTATGAAGCTTGTGTGATGAAAATTAATCTTCACTTATCATGCATGTTAAATCATGGTTTGTGATGAGAACCTATGATGATCATCATTTCATCATTAAATTATGATATTTGTTTTTTCATTATTTTTAGCTACACAAATGTCTTATGGCCCATCAAAGGCCCACAAATCAAGAAACTTTTTTGTGGGCTACAAAATGTCTCAAATATCATGTGGCTCGTCAAGGCCCATGTAGCAAGTAGCTAATTTGTGAGCTGATCCCAATTACAAGCCCTACTCATTTTTCACTAGCCCATGTCAAACAATTTTCACATAACCATTTTATAACCATTGCACTTTCGTATAATAAGACCCATTTGTCTATACATTCAGCTCATCTTAGGCCAAACAATCTTTGTATGGGCCTACTCATTTACAAGCCAAGACATTTTTCGCCCACACTACTACAAAATTTATTTTCTCTGCACGGTTTTCATTGCCAATTTGGCTAGAACGAGCGGTCATAACATTTCACCAACGATTCAAAAATCGGCTGAGCATGGTAGGCATTCAAACCAGTGGTGGATACTCCCACAATTTTTACCAATGGATCATATAGCGAACTAGAGGTGAAAACACTTTTCACCACTGGTATGATGGGCACTACACCACCTACTACTCAATCAGCGAGTTTCACCACTGGTTCAAGGACTGAACAAGTGGTGAAAATGCGCCGGAAGAAAACCCAACTTCTCTTCTCTTTTTCTCACTCCCTCCACTTTTTTACCTCCGACTCCTACCTTTATTTCACCATTGTTGGGGTGTTTTCCACAAATTTGTTCATGGAGACTCCCAAATCTTGAAGGATCCATATCACTTCCTTGTTTTAAGGTTGGTAATTATTGACCCTTTAAATTCCTAGCTTATTCCATTGGCTAAATATTAAATTGTAGGATGAATGTGATCAAAAGCATCTTTACTCCCGTGGGCACTAGGTTCCTCGAGAAGAAGTCGAGAGAGGAGAGAGGTGGGAACTGGGTGGGAGAAATGAGGAATGACTGAGAGAGTTAGGCTAGTTTTGTTGGTGCTAGGGTTTTCATATGGGCAGTGATTTTTTAATGGTTAAGAGGCCCGCCACCGAAAATGCTTCTAATTTCATATGCAACGTCTTAATATACCTTCCTCTGCTAATTTATTTTGGGATGTGGTTGTTTTCTTCTCTATCTCCGTAAATAATCAACTGCATTGGAAAACCATTTGTTATTTTTGGAGATATTGATACTTTTGGCTCGTCTCCTTAAATTAGAAAGAACTTTTCTCAAAAAAAATCCATTTTGTTGTACTCTGACCTAAGGACCCTAATTCACTTGGGTTGAAGCTTGCTACAAGCCCAAGGACCCGTATGTAGGCCTATCGACCTCAAATGGCTCCAAACAAAGTGCAACCAAGTCAAGGAGATGTCAACCACCACAAGGATTGCATCTGCACCATCCACACACAAATATAGTGCATTCAAGGGGTCAGATGGAAACCATAAGGTCGATCAGCCTATCAATCGCGTCCATTTTGAAACAACCGCCTTGGATAGCATGGAACTAACCTTAGGAGCTTAATCTCAAGCGCACGATCGGATGTCAGTGAATTGGATGGCCAGGAGGCCACGGTAAGGCCTATTGGCCAAAACTTGAATCCCACTCCAAGCCATCCTTGGCTATATAAGTCCCCCTCTCACTACCTAGGACTATAAATAGTGGTGTCCTCTTCATTTGCAAGCACACAGAAGTGAAGAGATAAAAAAAGAGAAGGAGGAGAAGCCCTAACATTTTCTACATAGAAAATAGTAATAGAGAGGAGAGGTGAGAGTGCCAAGGAGAGGCAGAGGTGTGGGTTTCTCCTCGACTTTGTACCTTGGTGACGAAGCTAAACATCAAGTGAAGTCTGCGTCTATGTTTTGGTAACATCTAGTCTTCCTCTACTTTTGCAATACTTTACTTTATTCTTTCTTTGCTTGCTGGTACATCATGAGCAATATATAGATTGTTCTATTTATTGTTCTTACATTTGCTATCTCGGGTAGTACGAGTGTGTTTCTAGCGCAAACATGGTGTTTAGGGTAGAGGTTATCTGGGTATGCTTGCTACCCCATGATAGCCATGGTAGTGGAGCATGTGCCACTTTGAAGCCAGAGAAATTAGAGTTAGGGTCTTGTAATGCATATTAGTTTATCTTGTAAGTGAACCTTAACACTTATAATCCTCCTCTACCTCTTTAATCTTGCCCTCCCATCCTTGGACTAAGCTAGATTTATAGTTAGCCACTTCTCTTTCTCCACGAATTCAATACCTTGGAATAATACTATCAGGTGAAAGCTACTTTGGTACCATTTATGCTCGAGGATTTCATTTGTCAAGCTAAGGATCGCTGACAACTATATAAACTTATATTAATTACATTTGAAGAAAATATGTTCATGAACAAGAGTATATTTGTTAATTTTGATTTAAAGATGGAGTCACATGAGAGATGGAGACGCATCAGAAGTATATGCTTTGTTTTTCACCTACCTTGGTCATTCCAGTTTGTTTATCAAAGCTAACTGAGCTAGTTGGCTGTTCAATAAAAATGGTGCTAGTTGTGCACTCAAAGTTCACTAGGCATCAATTCAGCAGTGTCGATTCAAGGATCTCATTTCACATTAACTTAGGGCTATTTGGATCAGCTAAAACTAATAAAACGTTGTAGATAATAAAAGAGTAGGCTAATAAAAAGTTGGGGCGGTTTGGATCACTTAGCTACTAGCTAGGTGGATTGTTGGTTGTTGATAATCGTATAGATGTCCCTATTAGCTTATTGGAGACAGCTAATGGATTATTGCTAATTAAATTAAATGCTTTTATTAGTTTACTAATAAGCTGGCTAGTTTAAATCGGCCACTAGCAGAGAACAGACTTTCGGTTCAGCACATTAGTCTCGACTAGAATTGGACTCGAGACTATTGTGAGCACTAGTCTCGGATCTAAGTTTTTTGACGTCGAAAGACCTTTAGTCCCGGTTGGTAATACCAACCCAGACTAAAGGGTCTACATTAGTCCCGATTAGTGCTACGAACCTAGACTAAAGAGCCTTGACCCTATAGTCCCGGATAATAACATCAACTCGGACTAATGTTAGACCCTTTAGTCCCGTTCATGTTCCCAACCCGGACTAAATGACCCTTTAGTCCCTGTTGGTATTACAAACCCGTACTAAAGGTACTCTGATGGATTACTTTAAAAGAAAAGCATCTCATCTAGATTCACATGTGCATTGTAGGTGAGGTGGAAATGTACACGCGAAGCAATACACGAGGTTTTGGTCTTGGTTTCGAATCCCATGAGGCAAAAGGGTGGGAGGTTTTTTTTTTCTTCCGAGGACCTTTAGTCTGGGTCTAAAGCAACCGAGACTAAAGAGATTCCTAATACTGGATGGTCAACCGGAATTAAAATCCCTGACCAACCGGAAGTGAAACCTGCTTTTCTACTAGTGAGCCATAACTTTTCTTAGCTGCATGTGGTGTGTTGTGGCCTGGGGGTGTCTTGTCTTGTGATGAATATCTAACGGATGTCAGGTTGTAAGATGAGGTATTCAGAAACGTTTTCCTCTTTTACGAGGAATTTAGGAATTTCCTAAGGAGGTGAGATGCTTAGGAAATTGTTGCCACGCTAGTACTCATTTTCAGCAAGGTTCTAAATCTTTGGCTATAGCTGCTGCTATCTCCGGTTATAGCTGTTTGAAGAGTATTTGGCTTTTTTTTATGTACAATTTAGTTGTTGGTTTTCAGTGAAGTCCAGAAAAAAATCTGATTGCTCTTGCATAATTGGGCCCCTTTGAAACTGGAGCTGATGACAAGAGCTCCAATAGCAATCGCAGGATGAAGACAGATCAGATAGAATTAACAAAATTTAGAATGGCACAACCATAGTTAAGCAGGCACAAGCAGGATCATATTATTTTGGCCAATACATGCCCATAAACATTGTCATCAGTCTACACTGGTACAGGCGAGATGATGGATCCCAATCGACGTCAATCTAGCTAAGCTTAAACCCTTCACCACAAGAGGAACACGGTCGCTGCCGCCGCGGCCTCCACCGCCGCGCCAAGAGTCCAAGACGCCGTGTCCCTTGCTCCGTTGTTCTTCTGATCTGCAGGCGGTTGGCCGTCCTCGTCCGGTGAAGGAGCTGGGGTAGTGTCCTCTGGCGATGGCGCGGGGCGACGCCTGTGCGTAGGTGGTGCAGCCTCCGGCGCAGGGGCAAGTCGGGGTGTGGGTGTGGGTGTGGGTGCATGTGCAGGCGGCGGCGAGACCGGTGCAAGGGCAGGCGGCGGCGCAAGGGCAGGCGTAGGCGTAGGTGCATGTGCAGGCGACGAGGCCGGCGCAGGGGCGGGCGCAGTGCGGCCCTGGCCGCCGTTAGACAGCTCCCTTGGCAGCAACACCGCGTCGATGAGGTAGACGTCGAGCGGTGCCTTGTCGAGCAGCGTCTTGGTCACCGTGGCGGCGATGGCGGCTGCGGACGACAGCTTCACCGTGTCCCCGTCGGCACGCACGGTGAGGTTGTACTCGTGGTTCTTGGATCCGTCGGCGGCGAGCGTGCCCACTTCCCCGTTGATCGCCTTGAGAGACTGCGCGGAGTAGTGCGCCGCCACGCCGTGGTACAGCAGGACCGCGAGCCAGGCGTCGGCAGTGAGGTTCTTGAAGGTGGAGTTGAAGGCCTCAACCGCCTTGTCGGCCGGGCAGAAGACGGTGAGCCCGGCGGCGGCGCCGGCGCTGCGGTCGTAAGCCGCGACCGCGTCGGCCGTCGCGGCGAGGAGGCCGGCGAAGCCCCCGCACCCGTTCTTGGACAGCAGATCCGTCAACTCCGGCGCCGCGCCGGGCTGCGACGCGGGCGCGGGCCCCTGCGCCCCGTCCGCCGTCGCCGGAGACCAGATCAGGTCTTTCACCTGCAGGACAGCGATGTCGGACGGCACTTCCTTTATGGATCGCTGGTAGAAGGCGGTCGGCAGCCTGTTGGAGGGGGCGGACGGCGTGAACACCGCCACGCGGCCGTCGGTGAACACGGTGATGTTGAGGATCCCGTCGCTCCCCTGCGCCTTGCCGGTGGCCTGGTAGAGGCTGGTGACCTGCGCAAACCCGCCCTGGATGCTGCCAAGCTTGGCGGCGTCGAAGTAGTCCAGGAGGACGTGGAGGTAGATCACGCGCTCCAGCTCCTTGGGGTCCGGCTTCTGCGCCTTCAGCCGCGCCATGACGGCGTTGTCGACGACGAGCACCGTGATGGTTTGGCGGCGGCCGATCTCCGCCGCGGCGCCGGTGCTGACGAGAGCGGCGCTGAAGTCGGTGAGGTCGGGGTGCGCGGCCAGGATGGCCGTGATGTTGTGGGTCGCGGCGGCGCCTTGGCCTTGGCCTTGGCCTTGACACGCCGGAGACGCGCCGAGGACGAGGAGGAGGGGGAGGAGGACTGCGGCGAGAGGAGGCATTGTGCTCGTGAAACCGGAAGGTTGCTTCCTGTGTGCTGCTGGCTGCCTGGCTGGGTGTTTTCGAGAAGAGGAAAGGAGAGGGTTTAGCCCACCATATAATTATTAAAGGGTATCAAATTAAATTCGCGAGGTGAAATCCAGTGATGAAGATGACAAAACAAAGATTTGATCATCTCACAACTCATCAAATAGCCGTTGTGTATATAGCAAACGGTAACAGCGAGAAATGGGCTCTAGTCTAGACCATCCGACGAAATCCAACGGTTAAAGATGACCGCATCACATCTACCAAAGTTTTGCCTTACTTTTTTCTTTATATACTCCCTCCGTCCCGTTAAGATTGTCGCTCGGGAAGCGGGATTGTGAGGGGGGCACGGTTTTCCAACGACAAACTCAATGGGACGGAGGGAGTATAAAGACACTCAAGCGAGTGTCACATCTGATATATCGAGGAAAACAAAGGCTGGTACAAAAGTTTTGCCTCGCTGATACATAAAAATCGCGCTTCAAATAAATGCTCACAAGCATTTGCGTTCCTCCTAATGTTTAGCTGGTGTCCTTTTCCTCTTCTTGACAATACAATCTTGAATGGATGCCAGTGGAGCAAACAACTGGAAACGCTAGGTAATGATGGGCTCTGCTACTGCTAGTGCTGAAACTTGAGATACAGAGTGATAAATGTGAGATATATATGGCTGGCCTTGTTTGTATTGCAATTCTGTGCATGCTCGACTGCATGCCTACAGGGACCATCTTCAGTAGCATGTATGACAAAAATGGTTGGCTTGAGGACGTTGTGCCTGTGCGTGACCAAAGTGATGGACAAAATTCAGTGCTGGAAAGGGTTGCACCGTCCAATTTTTTAGTAACGCCTGCAGGACCTGCATTTCAAATTTCGCATCAGCGATGCCGGTGTTTATTTGGGATCCTTGACCTCGATCGAGGGCCCTTATTATTGTCTTGAGAAGTTCCTAGAGCAAACCCAAAATCCCCGATTCTATAGCTTTGCATCATCAGCTAAGTATTTGACGCGTTTTCTTATGTTTGCAAACGTTAGCAAGGCTATATATATTTACCCATAAATTTGGTCTCCCACTTGCCTTGTTTAGCAAATATTTTTTTCTCTATGGTAGTAATATGTTGTTTCTTTTGTTTTCATAATCAATAACACTTGCTTTATCATTTCAAAGTTGAGTTGGCTATGTCCCTGTTTGTAATTACCCAGCTAATTATACGTTGTGTTAGCTAGGACAAACCAGCTAATAGCTAATTGTTAGTTGGGTAGTAGATAAAACATTAACTAGATTTATTGACCGAGGATCCAAACCGATCCTCGGCCAATTTTTAGCAACTATCTAGTATTAGCTGTAGCCTTTTAGGGATCTAAGCAGATCCTATGTACATCTAAAAGCAATAATCAAACAAGTTACTTGGATCCACGACATAGGAGAAAGTGTAATATGTAGCAGTCATATGCCACATGATAAACAGCATCCTCAATTAGCCGCCTCATCTCAAACTAAAAGTCAGAGATCTTAGACGAAGAAAACAGGTGCATAGTACTAAATAGCTTTGGTAGCGACCGAAAAAGCGACTGCTATATCGATAATGGCCTGTACTACTACTGCTATCGCTACAAGGTAGCGGACCAAAGTTAGCGTGTTCTAGCAGCCGCTATTGCCCCTAGCATCCACCGTTGCTATTGTTGGACACCTATCTGCTATGTAGATATTCCAAGTGATAGTATGGACACTTCCAATGGTAATAAAAATATTAAGATAGTGATTTGGACCATGATAAAGAATGATGGGATGATTAATGATTTCCTTTTCAATTGATATAAGAACGTTACTTAATGATAGTTTGTCTCCACATGTTTTCTTTATATTTTATTCACTTATATGCTTCTTTGTGATTTTATATCATTAAATGTATGAAATAATTAACTAAAAACTTTTCATTATTTTAAGAAAAGATGGTATTAGTATTGGTATATACTTTGACTATTTTTAATATTCTACTCTTAGAACTTAGCACCCACTATCTGCAATCCGCTATGATTAATCCTCTACGAAATCGCTATCTGCTATTTAGTACCTCCATGTGTGATATCACAAGTCACAACTCGCCTAGAAACCTTTTATACAAACGAAGAAGACCATACCAAGGAAACAACCAATCCTTAACTATGATAGTTGACGAGTTGTTGGGTAAACCTCCTATATCTATATATGATAGTCTACTGCTGTAATAAATATACAAAAATAAGTGCTAGCTTCTGCGTGTCAGTGTGTGGATCTGTGGGATTTGGGCGATGTTATTTCGTGCTGCCTCTGATACTAGCTGGCATCTGATTTTTCACCCCATCTTGACAGGATGACAGCCAAGCACACATCTGGAGATTTTAGGTGAGCAAATGCTGGCGCTAGCCTGCTAGTGCTAGGTAGAGTGCTAAGTGAAAAAATGTGGCATGTAGCTCTGTTTGTATTGCAACTATATATGCATCAGCTACATGTGAGCTGGGTCCATCTTCGCCAGTATGTATGACAAAAAATAGTTGCCTTTAAGACGTCGTGACACGGATGCAACGGGCAAATTTCATCCAGCGGCCGATACACTGCTGGAAAAGCTTGCTTTAAGCATCCACTCATTTGATTTTGATGCTTAATTAGCTTTGTTTTGATGGCTACATTGCTTGATTCTCATTCTAGTTCTTTCTTCATTCTAGAGAGCACTTTTTCAATTGGACATTTGTGCAAGGCTCAAATTATGGTGAATCCATCATCCAAAAGGTTGGTGTCTATGAACACATTTAAATTCCTAGCTAATTATTCCATGGTGGTCAAGATCATCATTGTTAGTATGTGATGCTATAATTAGTTCTTAGAAGTAGAGTAGAATAGTTGTTCTTCAATATTGTGCAATAATTGTTTTTTACTATAATTTTCAATTTACATTCAATTTTTCAATAATTAGTGTACAATAATATTTTTCAAAAATGGTACTTTCGAGCTACAATTGTTGTTCATGAAGCTCGATTTCTTATTAATTCTTTGTAATTACTGTCTCAGTATTTTTTTGTGCAGAGATGGATTGAGAGTGGATGTATCTATCCCGAACGGACAAGCGGTACATGCATGGCATCAGCCAGTTTATCACCGATACCAAAGCCCATGCTGAGAATGGGAACCCTGTCTTCTGCCCATACAAAGATTGCAAGAATCATAGGAACTTTCATCAAATTGAGTCTATACGATCGCACTTGATTACCATGGGGTTCATGCCAAACTATACGATATGAACTATGCATGGCGAGGTTGGTGTGAATGTTCTGCAGGAAAACGATGATGATGTGGACATGCCTAACGTAGCCATCCACGATGCTGACGAGGAACCCGGTGTCAACACGGAACCTATGGCCACAGTTAATAATGTGTTTAGGAACACGCTAGCTGACGACACCGAGGATAACGATGGCATTTCTCAGCTGCTACATAATGTAGAGACTGGATGTCTTAGTGAAAGACGGCTGAGAAAGCTAGAGAAAATAAGACAAGATGGCAAAACACCATTGTATAGGAATTGTCCAATGAGCAAACTGGAAGCCAACATCATGCTGTTAGAGTTCAAATCGACAAACGGATTGAGCGATAAAGGCTTCGATCAGTTGTTAGCTATAATAAGGAAAATGCTCCTAGAAAAAATGAGTTGCCAGAAAAGACATACTTGGCCAAGCAAATGATCTGCCCCATCGGCCTTGAGGTTGAAAAAATCCACGCGTGTTCCAATAATTGCATATTATACTGTGGAGAAAAATACAAAGACTTGGACAAGTGCCCCAAGTGTGAAGCTCCACAGTACAAGGAAGGGCCGTCAGATGAGGGTACCAAGACCAGGGAAGGTCCTGTAAAGGTCGTTTGGTATTTCCCTATAGCTCCCCGGGTGCATAGGCTATTTGCATGTGCAAAGTCAGCCAAACTGTTGCGCTGGCATGACGAAGAGCGTAAGAAAGATACAATGATGAGGCACCCCGCAGATGGGCATGACTGGAGGACTGTCAATACTATGTTCTATAAGGACATCGGAGGAGAGGTAAGGCACCTTTGGTTTGCTTTGAGCACAGATGGGATGAATCCTTTCGACCAGGTTAGAAGAAATCATAGCACCTAGCCAGTGACGCTCTGTATATACAACCTTCCACCTTGGGTCTATATAAAGCAGTCGTACATCCAGATGCCACTACTGATCCAAGGGCCAAGACAGCCTGGGAATGACATCGATGTGTTTCTGGAACTAATGATCGATGAACTAGTAGAGATGTTTGAAAAGGGTGTGCCGAATGTTTGGGATGAGTACAAAAAGGAACATGTCATGATCAAGGGAGTACTTATCGCTACAATCACCGACATGCCAGGTCAAGGTTCGTTGTTCGGAGAGAAGACAAAAGGCTATACTGGATGTGTCAAGTGCTTGGACAACACCGATGTGGTAAATCTACCAAATAACTCAAAGATGGTTTATATGGAACACCGTAGGTTCCTACCTAAGAATCACCCTTACCGTAGGAACAGAAAAGATTTCAACGGTGCTATTGAGAAATGCTTAGCTCCAAAATATCGAGACGGGCCTGCGATACTTTGAGAACTCAACAAACTAGAGGTTGTCCTTGGGAAGAGGGACAATGCAGTAGCAGCACCTGATGGGAGCGTTTGGAAGAAAAAACCAGTTTTCTAGAAACTACCTTACTGGCCATTTCTGAGTGTACGACATTGTCTTGATCCCATGCACATCACTAAAAACGTGTGCGCTAACACTCTTAACACCTTGATGGACACCGGGGGGACATCGAAGGATTCACTAGCCACACGCCTGGACATGCAACACTTGGGAATCAGGAAGGAGCTGCATCCCGTGGAGCTAGAGAATAGCCAGTTCAAACTTCCAGTTGCGTCTTGGACATTGAAGAAGGAAGAAAAGCGTGTGCTTATTTCTTTCTTCAA